ACTCCTACTACGTAGTTAGGTTTCGTTTCCGTTACTACGTCGTCCGTCCCGTCCCTACTCTCTCGCTCAGAGCTCTCTCTCTCTCTCTCTCTCTCTCTCTCTTGTGCATGGATAATTTTCCATATTCTTCCGTTGTTGGGTCATGGGTCAGACAACTCTCTCTCTCTCTCTCTCTCAAACATGCATACACACTATCAGCATTTGAGTGCCGGGCAAGCTTTCTATGCTTTTCCTACAACATAAAACTTATATATTTCCCCTTATCCAACCCTCCATTTTGAATGGAGGGCTGCCCCAATCACAATATCACATCTCTACACTTCTTTATTTTTAATTTTTTTTCTAGAAACCATTTTGACACCAAATTTTAGACGTCCAATCCTCTATTAAACTCACACTAGCAAAAAAAATATAAAAAAAAATATTTTTAATAAATTAAAATGACCAAAATACCCCTGAAAATTTCAAGGGGCATTTTGATCATTATATTTTATCGAAAAACTATTTTTAATATTTTTTTTATAGATGCACCCTAATGAGAAGGTGACACGTACCAAATTTCATATTCATATAATTTGTATAAAAAAAATTAAAAATAAAATACTTTGAGACGTCAGATCTAAGATCAAACGGTGAATGGCTCTCTTGATCAAAATTGAACGGTTAGACGGTAAAAGGAGAATAATTCTTCTATACTGTGGGGAAAGTATAGAAACCTTTCCCTTGAGTGTCATGAGGGTTTCACTTATCTAGTTGTCTATATGTTGCATGCACTCCACATGGGGCACCACCTTTAGGGAACACATTGTTTGTACCAGTGTTTTAAAACCTAGATCGGTGGATTGATCATTTACCCACATATCTATATCAGATTGTTAGATCAATGATTGGGATCAGTCTCAATCGCCAATATAAACATTATTAAAAATAAATGATATAAAATCATAATTAAAATATGGGATTTTGGGTGGGGATTTAGAAGGGATCTAAAAAACTATTAGATGAAATAAAAAAAAAAGAGATGAAAATATTTATGGGTGGGAGAGGAAACAAAGTCGGGACCCATAACATAAGTGGTTCGGCTCTAACCAATTTCTATCCGGATCAGTGATCCAGATTAAAAATTGTTAGGTTTTAAGCATTGATTTGTACATTGTTCTGATGAACATTTCCCAAAAAAAGAAAAAAAAGAAAAAGGACTTAACGAATCTTTCAGATAGAAGAATAAGCAAAAGCCAGTAACTCTTAAAACTTCATTAAAACCAAAAGTTAAAATAATAATAACGATAATAATAATATTTCATTAAAACCAATTAAAGTTTTGTCGACAAAAAAGAAGCTGTTTTAGCTTGTTTGAGCTTTTATGGACTGAATTAAAAGGTTCAAAGCCATAGCTTCCCTCACCCATGCTAATGTCTCGGTAGAAGAATCAATTGCGGTATAGTGAATTGGAAGGGAAAGGTCTTAAAGCAAACTTTGGTAACTTCCGGTTCGTATAATCGAATCAGAACGGTTAACTGGACATGGGTCTGGAAGCAGTTCAACCGACCTAACTGGTAAAGTGGCCGATTCAATCGCTCTAACTGTGCAAGTCTCTGGCAGTCAAAAAAGTGTTAAAAAAATTAAAATTAAAAATAAAAATCTACTAAAATATGAAAAACATATAAAGAATGATTAAAACAAAACACATTCAAATTAAGTTGAAAATTAATGAAAAAAATAGATTTAAACCCATTTTATATTTTCCAAAAGGCTATTTTTAAAATTTTCTAAAAAAAATTGGAAAATATAAAAGTGAGTATTAATGACCAACATAATTTTTATTCTTTACCATAATGTAAAGAATATATAAAAATGCATTACAAATCAAATTCTTTATTTTTGAAAATTTATATATATTTTTTTGATTTTTTTTTTTTAAATATCGATTGATCACCCTAACTACCCAAAACCGATCTAACCGGGTGGTTAGCACCCAGATCACGCGATTTTGCAAACAATGTTTCCTGTTATACTGTTTGCCGAGGTTGCTCGTTGAAATCGTGCTTGCCAATTGACATCAAAGAAAAAGGAAGCCAAAGAAAAGCATTTCCAGTTTTTAAAATACCATGATTTTCTCCCATGACATTTCGCTATGAAATTTTGAGAATTTTCTTGATGCGTGTAATAAAATAGCTGCACAAAATATTAGAAAGTTGTGGAAAAAATACTTTTCATCCTTTTTGTGTTTCTATATGTTGTTTGTGTATGGAAAAGGAAAGGTTTGTGCCTCTTAATTTTGCCAGTTTGTCCTATTTGATTCTCTCAACATTTTCCAAACAAAACGCAGAAGTGTGAATTTGTTTGTGAGAAATTACATCACTGAAATTTTTTCCCAAAATAATATAATGCCTTTGCATTTAATCATGGTGCATGATAGTGGACGTCACAGAATTGACCCAACTCTATATCGCCACCCTTATGGGTTTTGGGTCATTGGATACGCTTGGGTTTTTCTCAATATCAGGTTTTATTGATTCTAGTATAGATAAAAGCTCGTTGAGCACAATGTTGAACCTAATATATAAAGGGTCTGGTTTGTATAGAGCCTAGGCTCTAAACAATCAAATTAGAGCCTATTTTTAAATAGTATCGAAAAATGTGGTTTCAACACTAGAAATCTTTGTGATAGC